TTTTTAAAAAGGACATATTCTAAGGAAAATGGGAGCGATGTGTTTTTGTGTTTTAGGGAAGAGTATACAGTGTGTTCAGTGTCTCACTACTAGATCGGATTTGTAGTGATTCTCCTGTTTACATCCTCCCAAGAGCTTGGATTACAGGTGTGCACCACCATGCCCAGTCTCAATCATGATCTCAGTGTGCCCTGGGGGCGGGTTGGCACACGAGGCCCCAGGCAGGGATTGAACCCCTGGTCCCTGGGCTTACTTGCAGGTTCTTTAATCCATGCGATGTGTTTTTTGAAAAGCACACACGATTGTTCCAAAATGTTTGGTCTGCACAGTGTGTCTATGTTGAAAGCCTGGCTTTGTCTTCCTTTTGGCCTTGTGGTAACTGAGCAAGCAATGCTGGGTCTGGAGTGGAAGGAGATGTGAGAACAGGACACACTTGGGACTCTTTCCAGGACTGTGGCACTGTGTAATGCACTGAATTGTGCTTCCCAGAATTTATATGTTAAAGCCCTAACCTCCAGCATGGTGGTGTTTGGGAAGGGGCCTGTGTCAGTCAGCCTCTCATTGGTGTGACGGGAAAGGTTTGCTGGGCCTCATAGTTTGGGAGTTCTAAGATTATAGCGGTGGAGGGAGAAGAAGAGCTGCAGGTTGGAGGTGAGCAGGTCGTCTTGAATTCATTTCTTCTAAGACAGCCTAGAACTCAGACCCTTGCACTTGCCAGGGAAGCACTTATTCTACTGAGCCATCTCCCCGGCCCCTAGGTGTCAGGTTTTGACAGCAGCTTTTGGAGGTCATGCAGCCCAAGCCAGCCTGCTCTTTGTCTAGCTGTGTCCTGTAGATAGTTCCCAAAAACTTGTAAAATGGGAGAAAACTTAAAACATTTGATTACCTACTTAAAGGGGTTTTAATCTTCCCTGTGGCAACATGGTATCCATCCACCTACACATTCCTTCATCCATTCTCGAAAAATAAAAAGGATGGTTCCATTTTTTTGAGACAAGGTCACATTTTGTGCAGGCTGATCTTGAACTCATTGTATAGCCCAGGCTATCCTCCTGCCTTAGCATGCACCACCATACCTGGCTTAGATAGCATTTGAAAGCAAATCTGCCTGCTGTAATTGTAAAGAAACTTTGATTGTGTAGGAAAGAGTTTACTTTGCATTTTTGTTTGTTTGGGGTCTTTTTGTGGGTTTATTTTTTATTTTTTTATTTTATTTTTTAGACCACTGCCTCACTGTCTAGCCCAGGCTGGCCTCAAACTTGTGGTGATCCTTCCTGCCTCAGCCTCCTGAGTGCTGAGATTATAAACCTGCACCACCATGCCCAACTTTGCTTCCAATTTTTGGCAAGAGAATCTGGATATACTTGATGGTGTTAAAAGGAAAACTTTTGATAAGTTAGATATAAAAGTTTACAGTATTTGGGCATAGAAATGATTATTAAATCAAGCTTATTCAGAGCCAGAAAAAGTGTTCAGCTGTACAAGTAGCCAGTGAGTTTTTAGAGAGAAGGGAAGTAGAGAAATAGCTTGACTGGTTACAGCCAGGTGTGTGCCTTATTTGGACATGGTCCCATCCTTTGGTAGCCTGTGATTGGCTGGAGCTTGGGTGCTAGTGATTGGCTGAGACTCTGTACTGTTTGTTGTACTCCTAAATTAGGCATTCAGTTTGTTTATGTGCTAAGTTCCCTTGTGGTTTATTATAGCACCTCTCAAAGTACAGAGACAGCCTCAGGCCAAATTTGTCTTAACCACTATGTGGGCATAGAAATGAAATTTCCCTCACCAGCTCTCCCTGCAAAGATCATATCCGGGATATGTCTGTCATGCACACAGTCAGGAATGCGAAGACACAGAGCAGGGTCTGTTGGCCTCGGTACTTTGATACTGGGCTGGGTCACTGTTTCCTGTGGAGACGTCTCATGGTATCACAGAATTTTTTTTTGTTTTTGTTCTTTGAGACAGGGTCTTGCTGTATAGTTCAAATTGGCTGTGAATTCACTATTTAGCCAAGGCTGGCCTTGAATTCACATTGATTTTCTTGCCTCATCCTCCCAAGTGCTGGGAGATATTATCATTTCTATGTGTTGGGAACCCTAAAACTCTTCAGTGTGAGGTTGTGCTCAGTGACATCTCTCATGTGGATCTTGTAAGGAAAGCATCAGCACAGTTCCCTACTTGTTGGAGGTGTGTGCCCACAAAGATGATGCCAGTTCTGGCCTCCTGAAACAGTTCAAGGCCACGTCCTACACAGCCTCTTGGTTCGCTCCCTTCTTTATGCATATGGGCATACATATTTATTACTGCCTCAGGACCTGTAAGGATGAGAATTTAACTACCTTTGGATGGCCAGGCGTGGTGGTCCACATGTTTAATCCCAGCATTCAAGAGGCTGAGGCAGGAGGATCACTATGCACTCAAGGTCAGCCTAGGTTATGTTGTGAGTTCAAGGCCAGCCTGAACTGCATAGCAAGACCATGTCTGAAAAAACAAACATCAAATAATAAATACCTTTGGACACCCAGGTGTGGTGGTGCACACCAGTAATCCAGAACCATGGCAGCGGCTAAAACAGGAGGATTGTAAGTTTGAACTTGGCCTGTGTAACTTAGTGGACCCTATCTCAGAATACAAGAAATAAGGAGGGAAGGGAGGATGGGCTGAGAATGTAGCTTAGTGTGGAGGTCCTGAGTTCAATCTCCAGTACCCCTAAAATAAAACCTAGGAATGAAGTAGCTCGGAACAGAGGTACACACCTGTAATCCCAACTACTCAGGAGTTTGAGGCAGGAGGATTACAAATTGAGAGAATATTAGTGAAAATAAAAGAAAGTAGACTGGTACATGTCACAATGCAGATAAATCTATTATATGTTATCAGTGGGAGCCAAAAGAAACAACAGGAAGACTGGATTAATAGAGCTTCAGAGGTCTCACTGAGTTTAGTCTCTCTCTAAGTGAGCTCCATGCCACTGAAACTTCTCACATTTATTGCGGGATACAAACGCTAAGGAATGTGCATAACTAATTTGTTGTAAGCAAGCTATTACTTGCGTCGCCTTCTATAAGTAATTTACCAAACTCTAAGTTTACTTATCACTAGTTGGTAACTTCTCAGGTAAAAGAACAAAGAACAGACAGGGTGCCAGCTCCAGGAATCTGTTACCTTGTCTCCAACTTGCTGGAATTACAAGGGACCAGTTTGCTTAGGCTCTGTTCTTTGTCCCTTGCTGCCTTGGGACAGTAAGCTTCTGACTCATATCACTACATAAACCGTGGCAATATTAGGCTAAAAGGAGACCAACACAAAGTCCACACCTTAATTTTAACCCAGCAAGGCCTATGTCTGACCTCCAAAATTATAAGATAAAAAATGTGTGTGGTAGCCAGGTATGGTGGCTCGCATCTGAAGTCCTGGTGGCGCCCATCAGTTGAGGGTTCTTTTCCTCAGTTGAGATGGAAATCATGAATCAGCCAAGCAGAGCTACGCTAGTAGTTCTGATGTCACCAGATGACACCAGATAATGCTTGACATCACGCCAGTGGTTGACGTAGCCAGCTGCTAGTCACTCCATTGCCAGCCATCAACATCCAGTGTCAGCCTGTGCCAGGCACCATAGGTTGATCCTGCTGGGTGCTGGTCCCTGCTGTTGGTCTTTACTGGCTACTGTTCTAGGGAGTCCTCAGAACTAACCATGCCTAGTATTTATTGCTCTTTAAGACTAATGCTGTCTCCAGATGACTAAGGATAGATAATAATTTAGATTTACATGACCTTTGGGGCCCACACTACCTGAAAAATAAATCACAAACAGATTAACAGGACTACTGATGTGAGCCTTTATTTTAACAGAGCTTGCACTGCCGGACAGGGGAGTCATTACGCTGGAAGGAGCCCTTTAAGTCTAGCCTGAGGAGTGTGAGGGAGTGCTGCTGGTAAGGCAGCTGCGGAAGGCCTGGTGCTCTGGTGCCTCACTGCATGGGGGGCAGCTGCTGGGGTGTGTGCTGGGGCTGCAGCAGTGTCCAGCCAAGGAAGGGGCTCTCCAAGGTTAGGAGCACTTTTGTCCCTGGAGCTCCAGGGGTCTAGGAGGAAATGGAGACACCACTATGAGTCTGGGTGGGACAAAACAGTGGACTCTGCTCAAAGCTACCATGGGGAGAGCATTTTGAGAGGCTTCCTAATTCATAAGCTTTTTACTGCTGTAAAATAGAGCTGAAATTAAATGCCACTCACTTTTTCAGGAGTAAATTAGCAGACAGCCTCATTAAATTCAAAGCTTTTTGATGTATAAAACTTTATAAATTGAATTATTCCATCAATAGCCGAAGTACGGCCCTAACCTGTCAAGGTGGATAGTGTGCGATTTCTGTACAGGTCTCTGTTTAGTGAATTCATCACTATTTACTGGTCGGGGATCTTGCTCCTATAAAGGAACATCAGGATTTTTTTTTAAACAGGAAACAGCTGCTTAGCTTTTATTTATAAATCGTTGCTGTGGAGATCATGGTAATAGGCATGTGGTGTGGTCACAGGACTCAGGTATGGTCTCTTAGACTTTAAGACTCACCCGTACCAGCTCTCTGCCATAACTTGCCCTCTGTGATGAGGCAAATCCACACCCTCCTACAGAGGGTACTGTGGCTTTCTGACTTCAAAATCTGAAGCAAATAGGTTTTTTTGATACATAAAGCCAGGCCCCCAGCCCTGTAACCAGTTTTTAAATCCAGGAAGAAGTCAGGTCAAGTTCATAGGAAAGCAAGAACAGCCAACCCGGGATTCATGCTGACAGCTGCATCCACTAGGCACACTGTGAGTGCAGTCATCTTGACACTTAATGAGGACAATGACCGGAGGGAATCCTTCTTGCTGGGGAAAGCTCCACTACCACGAATAAAGTTGCCCTTGACCGAGGTTCACTTTTGCCTTAGCTTTTTGATGAAGGATAGCTCATCCTGATTCTGGATACCATAAACTCGGAGCTTTTTCTGGTCCTCTGTGAGTTTCTCTCCCGCAGAGATCAGATGATACGTCCTCCACACACAGGACCTGGATCGGTAGGTCGCAGAGGAGTGGGTCTTGCACTACCATGGCGAGACCCTCCTGGAACACGTCCACAGCCTCGGAATGTGGCAGCGTCTCCTCTTCATCCTCATCGTCCTTCAGAGCCTCCGGTCCACACGCGGTTTCCAAATCCTCCAGGGTCTCTTTCCAGGCTCAAGGAACATAAAGATTTAAAAATAAATGAATAAATAAAGCAGCTGCAGATCTGTGATTGGTGCAGTTTCAGGCCAATAATTGGTTCAAATTCAGGTCTGCTGATTGGTCCATCTGGAGACCTCTGATTGGTCCAATCACAGCAGTAGCTGTCATGGAGGTGCTTCAGAGGGGGTGGGCTGATGCAAGCTGCTTGATGGACAGCTGTTATATCTCTGAGAAAATGGTGGGGCTGCAACTAGGAAATCTTTGGGAAGGCTAGCTGTGTTCGTCACAGCTAACTGGGGTTCAAGAATGTTAGGGATGGAAAAAGAATGTTAGGGATGTTAATAATGGGTCCAGGAAAAAAAATATAAAAAATTTAAAAATTTAAAAAAAAAAATGGGCCCAGGGGTCGGCAAGATAGCTCTGCAGACTAAATGACTGCTTAGGCAAGCTCAGGAACCTGGATTTGATCCCCTGCACCATATGTCATGCTGGTCCCACCCCCAAGTGTGCTGAGCTGGCCCATCCAAGCTGTGTAGTGAGACCATGTACCAATTTTTTTTTTTTTTTTTTTTGCGGAGCCAGGGATTGAACTCAGGCCCTTGCACTTGTCAGGCAAGCGCTTATTCAACTGAGCTATCTCCTCAGCCCCCACCATGTACCAAATACATTTAAAAAAAACTATTAAAAATAATGGGAAAAGGGGCTGGAGAGATGGCTCAGTGGTCTAAAGCACCTACTTGAAACGGGCTTGGCAAAGCACAGGGACCTCGGTTCAATCCCCCAGCACCACATGCCAGCCAGCCCCGCCCCCTGGTGGGCTGAGCTGGCCACACACACACACACACACACACACAATAAATAAATGTAATAAATAAAAATAAATATTTTAAAAAAAATAATGGGAAAAAATAATAATGAGCCCAGATCCCTGATCTTAGCCACGTTAGGTTGTGCCTCCTGTCTAGGCAGTTTTTCTGCTAGGAACTGAGGCTATTGGAGTCTTCATGAGTGAACGTGTGTGTGACAGGAGGGTGTTCACAGGGGCTTGGGTCTGCAAGAGTCCCTTCTCCAGGCAGTGAGCCTGCTGGGAGGATGAACAGGACAGCCCTTGTTCCTAGGACTTGAGAGTGTTAATTTTAGCGAAGTGGCTGCAGGCCTCAGATTCTAGGACCTGTACACCTGTACCTGAGGCTATGCCCAGGCTTTGGAGGGCTTGTCCCACCTCCATCTGCTTTAAGAGCCTACTGAATTGTGTGCTTTGCAGTAGGAGAAGGACTTGTTGCTCTCTGTGGGGTCTTGGAGCAGGAGAGGCCAACAGTGGATTGAGGGCCCCAGCTAGGGAGAGAGTCACCATCCTGGGCTTGTGCATGGCTCAAGCAGATAGAGCCCCCTGGGCCCTGAGGTCACCTCTGGGTGTCCTAGCCCTGCGCACCTTCCCTCAGCAGGGCTCATCCCTGCTCCCTTCCATTCTCTCTCTGACTCACAGCCTCCACTTTTCCCTGAGGCCTGCTGAGCGCTGAGCTCTCTGCTGTCAAGGCTAGGGTCAGCTCCCAGGGTCCACTTGCTTGACCCTCAGCGTGCTGAGGAGCTGGATCCCTCCCTGTCCTGTGAGCACACCTTCCCTGGCTCTGGGTCTCCGCTCTCCGGGTGTCCTCCTGAACTTCCGTCTACCTCTCGGGGGTCTCTCTGACTTCTCAGCCCCACATTCTGTGCTCCTGCTTGAACACCCACTGCCATGGTAGCTCACCCAGGCTTGTGGCTCTCAATGACCACCCTTAGGTAGAACTGAGGCATTTGTCATCTTTCTCTTCCCCCAAAACAGAAGTGCTCAATGACAGTAGTGACTTTTTCAAGTCAGGTTTATTGAAGAATGCATGTAGTTTAGTTTGTCTTTTTAGCACTCACTTTTATGAGTTTTTGACAGAAGTATCCAGCTATATGTCACCACCTCCATAATCAATTATACGACACTTGCTGCCAGATCTGAAAGACCTCTGGGCCCCTGTCTTAGTTACTCTTCTCTCGTTGCTGGGACAAATACCCGACACTCAAAATGAAAAGGTTTATTTAGCTCACAGTTACTGGAGGTTTCAGTCCATACTCAGCTGGGTCCAACGCAGAGCAGCACATAGCAGAGGGCAACCTTTCAAGTCGGTGGCGGCAAAGAGCAAGAGTGCAAGGGAGGGGTAGCAGCAGCTCAAGCAGCTAGCTTTTCTTCCCACCTTACAATGTAATGCAAATTACCTGCCCCAGGGTAGGGGAAGTACTCACACCTGTGGGTACTTCCCAGTATTTACCCACCTATGGGTAATCCCAGCAGTACTAAAACCCTTAATCCCAGCCTTGGATCACACATAATCCCAGTGGATCATGAGTTAACACAAACTCTAGAAGTCCTCACCCCATGACTGCATGAGGCTTTGAGGGGACAACTAGACACAAACCATAACAGCCCCTATGTGGCCAGCTCAAGCCCCAAATCCCACACCTGCTAGTCACTGATCTGTTTTGTGTCCTCATAGTTTTGTCTTATCCAAAAGTCACATAAATGGAATTATACTGCATTTAAACCTTTGAGTTAGCCTGTCCCATATACTACCACTTATTGGCAGTTTCTTCCTTTATTTTACTGTAGGATGCACCGGTTTATTTGTTCCTAGCGTGACCAATTATCCTAGTTTTCCCAGGACTGAGGTGTTCTCTGAGGCATGGCACTTGCGACGTAGAGCTCAGAATGGAGGGTTACCTTGGCTCACCAAGGTAAGGACATTCAGGTTGTTTTCAGTTTGTGGTGGTTTTGTATATTTTCATCTTTATAACCAATAATGCAGAGGTTTAGTGAGAGCACATATTTCATTCCTCTTGGTCAAGTCCCTAGTGTGGTATTTGGGGTGGAGTATGGAACTGTCAGGCTGTGTGAAGAGTCTCAGAACCATCTTGTACCCCTGCCAGGATAGTCTGAGAATTCCTGTTGCTCCACATTTTCTCTAGAACCTGACAGTGACTGACAATTTTTTTTAATATATTTTGGTACAGGGTCTACAGGGTCTCACTACACAAATCGGACTTGTAGTGATCATCCTGTTTTCAGCCTCCCAAGTGCTGGGATTATAGGCATGGGCTACCACACCCAGTCTCAATAATGTCTCAGTGCACCTCAGGGGTGGGGCTGGCATGGCACACAGGAATGAACCCTGGCCACTGTGCTCTGACTAAGCAGGCCCTTTAGTCTGCTGAGCTCTCTGGCTGGCCCTGTGACTGACAATTTTTAAGCCATTCTAATAGATGTATGAAGATATGTCCTTGTGGTTGGCTGAGATTTCCTCTATCAATTTTGCATAGTGTTGGGCCTCCTACAATACAGACCTTCAGTGGGTGTCATGGTTTGGGTTTTTTTTTTTTGTGGAACCAGGGATTGAACTCAGACCCTTGCGCTTGCCAGGGAAGCGCTTATTCTACTGAGCCATCTCCCCGGCCCCTTGTTTTGTTTTTGTTTTTATATTTTAGCACAGAGTGTGCAGGTCTACAGGGTCTCACTATATAGAGTGGACTCGTACTGATCTGCCTGTTTTTAGCCTCCCAAGTGCTGGGATTACAGGTAAGTGCCACCACGCCCAGTCTCAATGGTGTCTCAGCGTGCCCTGGGGGTGGGGTCGGCATGGCACTCTGGGGATTGAACCCCTGCTGCTGTATCTACCTAAGCAGGTGCTTTAATCTGATGAGCTATTTGGCTGACCCTCTGGTTTGGGTTTTTTTCAAGGCACACAATATAATCCAGGACATGTTTTATAATATTTTACAATGATTCACCCAATCATATACAACAGGTACAGAAATCTATCCACACACTAAATACTAAAGAATCCAGCTGAGGGCCTGGATCCTATATCCTGCATGAGTCCAGGTGAAAACCTAGAACTTGGGGCCAGCCAGATATCTCAACAGACTAAAGCACCTGCTTAGGCAGGCACAGAGACCAGGGTTCAATCCCCGGTGTGCCATGGTGGGGGGTCAACTGAGACTGGATGTGGTGGCATGTGCCTATAATCCCAGTGCTTGGGAGGCTGAAAACAGGAGGATCACTACGAGTCCCACCTGTGTAGTGAAACCTATGAGATCCTGTACTAAAATACATTTTTTTAAAAAAAGAAAGCCTAGAACTCATGACAATGCTTCCCACAAGTCCAACTAGAGGTCTAGAGCCCACAGCAAAGTCTCATGCAGGCCTACTTCACGGATCTGTGCTGGGAAGGCCCAAAGGTCAGTGGTGGAAGCTAGAAAGTCTATGCCAGGGATGAAGGATCTGTGCTTGCAGGCTGAGGGATCTGAACTGGAGCTAGGAAGCAACACTAAAACACCAGAGCTCCCCCAAAGGTACCACAGCCATCCTCAGCAACAGTGAGATCCTGAACTCCTCCAGGGATGAGGAAAGCCGAGTTCCCATCCCGGAAGCCAGTGCTACAAGCTTTATGAGGCTAAGCAGTGCACCATCTTCCCCCGGGAGCCAGGAAGTGATGCTCAAGATAAGGACCAGAGCTTCTCCAAGATTCTTCAGGAAAGCCAGCAGGACAAGGTCCTCCTGCAGAACAGCCCAAGAGAACTAGCAGCCTCCAGCACTTCTCCAAACAGCAAGCTTAACAGCATTTCGGCAGCTTCTCCTGTTCTGCCTCTGTGCTGCTGGGAGCAATCCTCAGGTGGGCCGCCTGCAGCCAGCACTAATAAATCGCCCCCTTTTATCCAGCCGCCTCATTTCAGGCAGGCTGTGATTTGAGCAGTGAGATGAAGTCCATGAGCTGATGTGACTCGGCGTTAAGCCTCTAACTCATCCAGGCTCAGGGAAGAGTCCAAGGTTGCCTAGCACCTCATACTGAGCTGGTGGCAGAACTAGACCTGTGGGTGAGGCTCTGCCTGGTGAACCGCTGACACTTCTCTGACAAGGTCAGAGCGGGGTGGGGGCAGGACACAGGGA